CCTGGCAGGGGAGATACCATGATCACGAAGGTGGTTCTCCCAGGGCGAGGCTCAGCCATTGCACTCCGGCCGTGCTGACCCCTGCGATTTCCCCAAATGCGGGAAAGTCGACTGCATAATTTCTGGTAGTGGGGGACTGCGTTCGCGCTTTCCCCTGATCTGGCCCGTGCAAAAAGTAGATGGTGTAGCAACAGGTCGGAGCAAAGGACAGGTCCCGGCTTCCAAAGGTCCTTTTTGCCACGGGCGCTTCCGTCGGGAGTTCCGTGAGCTCGGGACAGGCATCCTTCGCCGCGTAGCTTCGCTGGCCCTTTTCCGGGCCATTTCTGCAGTTGACCACCAGGTGGCGACGCTAGCTTCGCAACACTTTTCGTAAGCTAGTTAAAGAGTAGTTAGTTCACCTTCCAGCGTTCATTTTCCTTGCAGTCGCTTTCACATGGCACACCAGAGCTGATGCCTTTTCTCAAAGAGATCCATAGAAATAGCGGCCAGTACGACAAGAGGATAAGGTATGGGGGAAAATCATGTAAGAACCTTCCCAGTGGGCAGGAGATGATCGAATACGCCCACGCCAAGGGGCCGGACTTAGACTGATAGACAGACCACATTGGAAATGGGTGGAAAGTGCTCGACGACCCCTTTCGTGTCAGGCAAAAGTCCGGGGAAGTTCAACCCTAGGACACCACCAAGCAAAGCTTAAGAGGAAGCTTTTGGGGTCGACCCGATCTGGAGAGGAATCCAAATGTTCCCCCCATCCCCAAAGCTAAGGCTAAGGCCCTCCACTCCGAATCAGCTCTTTGGGCCCTGCCTGCAGCCAAGTGGGTTTTGAAAGCGCAGCCCTGACCTAGCATCGGTTTCCCCCGGGCCGATTGATATGCTAACGAGGGTCGCCGGTTGCGAAGCGGCTGGCTGCCTGGCTGCCTGGCTGTCAGTATGGGCGAGGCCTCCGTATGTAAACGCGCTAGCTGCAATGAACTATGGGAGTGCTTAAGCTTGTGCCCCTTTTTCCCATTTAGCGCCCCTTCTCAAGGCGGTGGTAAGCCGCACCATGGTTTCACGGAACGCCGATGGCCGTTGAGCCCGCTTGCCGTGAAGGGGGCGAGGGCCTGTCCAAATGGGGGTGAGGGTGGGTGGGTTGGCCAGGGAAAAAGGTCTCCGTATGCTCGTTGAGGTGTACCCTTGCAGCGCCGGCGGTCTTGCCTTCCCCAACTCATACTTACCTGGCAGGGGAGATACCATGATCACGAAGGTGGTTCTCCCAGGGCGAGGCTCAGCC